ATCGAAACTGCCGCTGGTAATTTGTACAAGGAAAAAATCATTCGCGGTTTCTGTCACTTGTACTCTGGACAGGAGGCCTGCGCCGTTGGTGAGTGGTACATTCAAATATAAGTAACTATTCTATTTATAAATTTTGCATTTACATTATTTAGGCATGAAAGCCGCGATGCGTGAACAGGATAACATAATCTCTGCTTACCGTGTGCACGGTTGGACCTATTTAATGGGCGTCTCACCTGTGGGTGTGCTCGCTGAGCTGACTGGTCGCCAGAGTGGTTGTGCCTTGGGTAAAGGTGGCTCTATGCACATGTATGCGCCCAACTTCTATGGCGGCAATGGTATTGTAGGCGCACAGGTGCGTCAGATACATGCATAATTCACGCTGCTAAATGTATAATTGATTATTAAACTTTTGTTTCCAACAGGTACCACTTGGTACTGGCGTTGCACTCGCCTGTCAATACAAAGGTAATGGCGGCGTTTGTTTATCACTTTACGGTGATGGTGCTGCCAATCAAGGTCAGGTGTTCGAGTCTTATAACATGGCTGCTTTGTGGAAATTGCCGGCAATTTTCGTTTGCGAAAATAATAACTATGCTATGGGTACCACTACGATACGTGGCTCCAGCAACACTGACTTCTATACACGAGGTGATGTAGTGCCCGGTATCTGGGTTGATGGTATGGACATTTTAGCTGTACGTAGTGCCACCGAATTTGCAATCGAATATGTGAACAAGGTTGGTCCAATTGTATTGGAAACCAATACCTATCGTTATTCCGGCCACTCTATGTCTGATCCCGGTACAAGCTACCGTACACGTGAGGAAATCCAAGAAGTTCGTCAAAAACGTGACCCCATCACATCGTTCAAGGAGTTGTGCATTGAGCACGGACTTTTGTCTGCTGATGAAATTAAGGTGAGTGTAAAGAAACTGTACGAAAAGTACATGTATTAAATTTAATTTTTCTTTATAGGAAATCGATACTAGGGTGCGTAAGGAAATCGACGAAGCTACACAAGTCGCTAAGAATGATAAAGAACTGCCTGTAACCGGTCTGTGGACTGACGTTTATTCAAACAATTTGGAACCAAAGATACGTAGTATTACCAGCTATAACATTGAGCATATTTCCCAATGCAAAGGCGTCAACCACTAAGCCATTAACATTTGAAGTAGTAAAAAAAATGTAAAACGAATTTGGAGCAACAAACCAACCTTTGCTTGTAGCCATAAGTTAAGTTAAAAGTGTAGCCGAATCACTAGTAAAATTATTATTAATCATATTATTCACAAAAAACAAATGTATGCAATTCTCCAAGGTATAATTGTATTTACACGCATTAAATTAGTGAAATCGCGTTTTCAATACACAATGAGTTAATAACGGGATATTCTAGTTAGACTTATATATAATTTGCGATATTTTTTGTTGTAAACATTTCGAGTTATCCAATGCATACATAGTTAAAATACTTAATATACATATATTTTAATTTTGGTTTTGTAAATACCAAAAATATCATTGTACATTTATTATAACTGTCCATAAAACAAAAAAGATATTATGTTTGTGAATGTATAACATAAGTATAAATGTGTAATTTGCATTATTGGCAATAAGTTTAACCAAAGTTGTAAAAATTAACGTAATAAAAGTGATATATATGTACAAAAGACAAAAATATGTATTGCATAGCTCTTATGGCGGCCTTGAGTGTGGTGATCAGTGTTGCCAGAAAACTTTTCGAGAGACCACTAGTGTCGACTCTGAAACCACTAAAAGACCACTAGCGCTCTCTCCAAGCTAAGCTAACTAATTCAAATATATAAAATAAGAAGGAAAGGAAAGCAATAATGTTAAAACTATTTTAAATAAATAATTATTTTAAAAACGATGATTTATTTTCTTATGAAGAAAGAACCAGCAAAACAAGATGAAAGCGAATCAGTAATCTGTTATATATAGTAAACAACTGAGTATAGACTATATATACTGTATAGTAGAGAAAACTTGAAAAAAAGCTAGAATACCGTAGAGAGAGGAAAATCACTATATGTATGGGTGCGTTCGAGCTACGTAATAATTGCAGCAGTACAGCTACTGTGTTGCATATTTGCTGATACTCTGCTGATGTGCAGACAAAAATTTAGTTTTGCCGATTATTTGCATAAATTGCGAGATTGCCATCTCGAACGCACCCTATATTATATTTACCATTATATATTTGATTTTCTGTATTGACCGTTGGCGGGTATTATTTATCACTCAAAAGCCATTAACCATTAAACATTTTTTTTGCCCACTAGGGGAAGAGTAAAACCACCAAGTTGGCAAAACTGGCGGTGACTGAATCAAGAAATACGAAAATAAACCAAACACAATCACAAAGTATGCGCAAAATGCTTCATACTTTTAGGCAGCATTATTATTATTTTGGAACAGTTGAATTGAACAATACAATTGAAATTATGTATTTCAATCGGATTTCTACATCAACTTCGCTTATAAAATCAGAGCGATTGACAACTTTTCTTTCGGAAAAAATGAATTTGAAAATGATGAATAATGCACAAGAATCCACAACAAAATATGAGACCACGGTATTTTCCAGATATTTAGAAGATAACAAGTCTCAAACTTATGTTTCTTATTTCAGTTACCATAAATCTGAATGACCTAAATGTATATCCCGTTCCCACAACAGTCGGGCCAAGGACTGTCAACTCGGCAGAATTCTGCCGCTACAACAACGACAACAACCTACATGTTTGTAAGATAATACAAATATTTAAAACAATATTAACTTCTCATTTATTTAATAAAAGAAGACAATTTGTTTTCTTATCGGTCACCACGCTCAAAAAGTGTAACTTGAATTAATATCAAATAAAAAAAAATACTGCATAAAAAATAAATTAATAATTATAATTGCTTGAGTTGATAAAAAATGCTATTACCACGGCAGTCGTCGAGTGCCAAACGTATTTTTTTATATTACATGGGATATCGCATGTAAAAATACCATTACTCCGCTCCGTTAATCATTTTTATAATTGCTTGCTTACGTAGTAAAGTTGATGTTTTATGAAGCCGTTCGATTTGTTTCTTTTTCGACGGGTTTGGACCATAGGGAGAGGGGAGTTAAGTGAGTTGGTTTCATTGGACATGCAAAGAGGTGACTAGTGTCATGCGGGGACACTTTGCATGCAGCAAATACTTTCAGCAGGGATGAAGCAACTATGAGCATCTACAATCACCTTGAATTGACGTTCGCCAACGATTACGTCCCTAGATTTGAGCAGTGCGGTGAAGGAGTTCTCAGTTAGCTTTGTTGAATTAACAAAGGTGCAGTTTTTCACAGAAATAGTTTATCGATCGAGATAATTATGGACAGAGGGACTGATGTGAGGGTTAGCATAGGTCGCCCGGTTATGCTATTTATCAGCCCATCACTAGGGTGGAAATTGGTCTAGATGGACACAATTCATTCGAATTTTTAGAAAACTCTTCCCTGATTTGTGATTACGCTCTGTTATTCACAGTTTTGTAAAAGAAGAAGCAACACATTAAGTTTTCTTATCAGTTTTTTTTTTCTCATTTGACATTCGTGTATTCAGTGACATTCTTTTTGGTCGAGGTGTTACGCGATTTCGAGTGGTCGAAAAAAATCAAATTTTATATTAAATTTACCATAGTATATGATTTGATAAAGGAAAAAAATGTTGCGTACACTTTCTAGATGCAGCGAATTGCCAGTCGTGGCGAAACAATTGCAAAAAGTATGTAATCGCAGAATGCTGGTGACGACAACTTCATGTGGCCGTCGTCGCGTTGGTTGGAGCATGTTGAACATGCTTCAGCGACAGTATGTAGCTCCTTTGGTTAGCTGCAGCTTACAACATCAGGCAACAGCAGCGTCATTGGCAGCTAAAACTAAAACAACAAATTTTAACATGTGCAGGAATAATTCATCCTTTTTCGGTTTATTCCAGAGTGCCGCCCAATCTGGTGTACAAAAATCGAACAAATATGCAACAGAGGCGACCATACAAGTGAATCGCGTAAGTTTACCACCCTCGCTTCACCTTGTTAGTACAACAAGCATACATTTCTATCTTCATCCCATTTCTTTCATATGCTGTTACATAACATATTTTGCCACAACTTTTTGGGGACAGTGTTTTAATAGTTTTTTTTTGCAAAAATTAAATTAAAAAGGATGGTTAGGTTGCTAAATTGTAAGTATTTAGGAAAAAGATATAAACAATTAATGACATTTTTTGTACGAAAGCAAAGCGATTGATAAAAAAAATGTGTGTCATACTGTTACGTTTACTATTGCATGTACTATCTACTGAAGGTCATTTAAGTAATAAGTAGCAAGCAGCAATAAAAAAATGCATATACATATGTATGTACTTAGAAGCAAATATAATATTTATGACATGTTACGTCCACGACAACAGCCGCTGTTATCGGTTTATTTTTTTTCCATTTCTAATTTGTCTCGTGGTTTAGAATAGGGCCGCTTATCAGCGCTTTTTTCACAGCAGTCTATAAAGTGCTAAAAAAGATACATGTAAAAGCAAATACTAATACTTATAAGTGGTATATGAATATCATTAGTTTTATCAACAAAAATCCCGGTAATTGTTAACTAGCTTCATTATTTTTACCGGCAAGTAGAAGTAAACAGAACACTTGATTACACTTTAGAGCCTGAGTGCCGGAAGTTTCCGGAACCATAAGCACATTCAAAGTGTGGTACTTATACGTAGTTTAATTATTACATCTATATGCCACAGCAACTTAAATTAGCTTAAATTTTTAATGTTTATAATAATTTAGAATTTAGAAGTTGGAATTCTTATTAAACAAATTTCATTTTCATGCAGCCATTTAAATTGCATAGACTTGATAAAGGCCCCGAATCAACCGTCACACTGACCAAAGAGGATGCAAC